GTGTGTGTGTGTGTGTGTGTGTGTGTGTGTGTGTGTGTGTGTGTGTCTTACGTTTGTAATTAATTCTGGTGATGGTGTCTCGGTTGAGCATGCGGTTCAGGAAGGTATTGGACTTTTCAGAGAGCTGCAATGACACAAAACAACATCAGGTTTTAATAATAATAAAAACAAACACTCTCCTTAAGGTCTGGTTATACTTCAACAAGATGTTATTTTTGGATCTTGGTGATGTGGTTTAAGTCTTTTTTTTTTGCATGGACTATTCATAGTCAGAGAAAAACAGAACAGAAGTCCTGGTGAAGCCCTCCCACGTCAAGCACAATCCGAATAAACATAGAAAGTGAGGTTTTTAAAGTTGATGTTTATTTTCAGCTGATAATGGAGGAGCTTGAGGAGGAAGATCTGGTTTTTCTGTCATTAACTGAGTAGAAACACTACTTTTTATAAAGTGCCACTGTTTCCAAAAATAAAATGTGGGAATGTGTCTCACTCCTTCCTGGTCAACACAGCCACGGTTGTCCATAGGAGGATCAGAACAGTCATGTACTGTAGAACCGCCGGTTCTCTGTGCTGTTCCTATGTGAACATAATTGTCCAATCTCCTTCCATGAGTTATTTTGCTATCTTTATAAGTTTTATTTGACTTTTCTTTTTTTACTGGCTGTATTATCTCACAACGTCTGTCTTAGAAAATGCCACTCACTGTAGCCTGTTTACACAAACACATGAGCAAAGTCCTGACCAATTACCCCGCTGCTCGATGAAGAGTGCTGCAAGAACTAGTTCTGACTTGAAGCAAAGCACAAGATGAAGTGTCAGCCTGTAAGAATGGAGAACTCCACGATTTTCTTCACGCACCGACATCAGAAAGACACAAGAATGGGGCTTCTCGTTGAGCTCAAACCAGACTTAAGTTAACAACTAAAACAGAAGAGATTATTGTTTCATGAAAAGCAAACTGAAACCAGATTAACTCCACGGAAATGTTTACCTGTTCACACTAACTGTGTGCTTATCTGATAAATTATAATCATGTTGGTTTATGTATTTACCAGTCAGACAACCAGAAACAAGACGATAAAGAAACACTTTCCTCTCCATTCGTCCCAATGGTTGTTGGGACATAAAATACAATACTCCACTGCTTAATGCTTCTTATTTGTCATGGCTCAGAGCACACAGAGCAGCAGATATTTAGTTCTCCTGTATATTTCCAGGAGAACACTCGGACCTTAATGAAGATGGAGACCACAGCGATTCCATGTGGGCTCTTTGCTGCCTCGCTGTAGTTGGCGTACAGATCCTGATTGTAATGAATCAGCTGCACCTAAAGTAAGACACAAAGACAGAGAGCCGCAAGTTAAAATCATAAAAATCTGTACTGCAACTGAGTAAAATTATATTGACTCATTCTTGTTGGCTGGATGCTGAGTCAGCATTGACATTATTGCTTGTTTATAAATTCTTCTGTAGATATTTTACATACCTTTAACGTTTTTAAACCATTCATTTATCATAAAGTTCATCTCATTCAGGAGATGGCTCCTACACTGCAAAAACTGTCCATCTAACCAATAAAATCTTATATCCAACAAAAAAAATCTTTTTGATCCTGTTTTGAGACTGATTTACTAAACAAGAACAGAATGTGTAGGATTGTTAATCCAGAAAGTGTGAGAATATTTATCTCATGAATCTGAAGATTTGACTCAATTTAAGTGGAAAAATGTTTGATTTAAAGTCAGAACATGAAAGAGTCACATTTTAAACAACTTGGAGAAAAACATTCAGTTACATCCTTTATCCCGTAAATTATACCAGCAGACTTTTGTAAATCCAGATTTATTTTAACTCTTTACACCTGCAATTGTTTTGATTTGTAGCTACTGACTGCCAGTTAGTCAAAGAGTAACATGAAGCATGCTAATCGAAAATCCAATAGTTGTGATTCTGAAGCACCTAACAGTGAAGGTCCAGAGAACGTTATACTTAATCTGTGTGCATCTAAAAATCTTGGCTGTGGTGGTGGYTTGTCTGGGATTTAGTAACAGTAGGGCTGTTTTATAAGTAAGAAACAAAGACATTATCTGAAACAAAGTAAAAATGTTAAAAAATGAGCTGCACTTCTGCCTTTTCACCCCCTTTCAGCTAATATCCCACCTCCCACCCATCAAAACTAATTTGTGAGTAGTAAAATGTCCACTGTGGATTCTAAACCAAAGTCAATGCAGAGCTGAACCCAGTTTGTTAATAAACTGACTGCTAAGGTTATATCACTGGAAATGTTCTGCTTCTCTCATCCTAACCAGCAGAGTCTGAATCTAAAAGATTGGTTTTGTACAAAATACATCTTCAACGTTCTTGATTCACTTTTCCCTTTCAGGGTTGCAGGTGTCTATAACCAGAGGGCAGCGGATACCCTGGACAGGTCTCCGGTCCATCACAGGGCATCATAGAGAAAACAAGACAACCCTTCCCCCTCTCATTCACACCTAGAGACAATTTAAAGTGGTGCCCGGTGAGCTGCTGCCTCCCATCATGAAGGGATTAAATCCCAGTCGAGGACCTTTCTGGGTAGAGTTTGCATGTTCTCTCTGTGCATCATGGTATTTCTTCAGGTACTCCGGTTTCCTCCCACAGACCAAAACAGTGCTCTAGACTGACTATTAGTTAACAATCTAGTTCTTTGTTTGAACCAGAGTTGTACAGGACATAAACAGTAATTTAATAAAAAAAATATTTAAATTGATTCTATGAACTGAAATTTTAATGTAAACATCTCAAGCTTAATGAAATGAAAGACGTAAGTGCAAATGTATATTATAAACATCTCAAACTGAACATTTCATGGTTAAATGTCTTTAGACTACACATGCCCCTCAGATGGACAACTCTTGTAGTTTGGCCTTCTAGATCTTTGGCCTTGGCTGAACCAGCTTTCACCAATCTTCAGCTTTATCCATGTAATGGAACTAATATTTTTATGTTTAAGCCAGTAATTCATGACATCCTTTAATGACCTAGATTTTCGTGACATGCTGTTCATCTGCAGATAGAATGATTAAAGTCAGAACAAGATTTGCTAACAACAGTCATTCTTAGATATCACTTGTGTTTATCTTTGTGTTTTCCATTGACCTTGTATCAAATCTTGCTAAGATGACAGAATGGTGTTTGTTAATATATATATGAGGCCTCTCGAGAGTGGACATAGTGGACAGAGACAGTGGACAGTGGAGTGGAGTGACAGAGAGAAGCAGAGGCACAGAGACAGGCCAGGTTGTTCTCTGTGTTTCCTGTTGTTGCAATAAAACTCAGCTGATCATCTCACGGAGTACCTTCATTCTTGGACCACGTATTTTTGTCTTTGTTGAATAAATATTGCCATAACAATCCATGAATAACCTAATTTGACATTGCCATTGTAGATTCTCAGACATCCAGGACATGGTAAATCACAAAAAATATTTTAAAATCTAAACAACCGAAGTTGTAAACTGAAGTTGAAGATGTTTTGCTTCCTATTCATTGAGCTTTCATGGTACAAAACTGGAAAGCGTGGAATTCTTTCTAACCTTTTCACATTGCATGAGCTCAGTTTGCACAGCTAAATTCACATGCAGATTAATATCACTGTCCTCAGGAGAGTCATTAGGGTCTTTATTTGCCTGGTTCACAGTGGGATGTTTTCACATGCATGAAGGTGTTTCACTCACTTTCAAGTTTTAGAAAACTGAAATCTTTATTTAAAGTTGTTTTGGACTTCAAAAAAATCTTCCTTATCCTTGAAGTGCAGGTGCACTTCTGAGTCTAGTCCTGAAGAGCTGGATCTCCTGTGTTGAGCCATGTGTCTGTGGAGAAGCTGTTTAGTTTCTCCAGTATGGAAGTTTGAAYATCCCTTGCATCATTGAACTGCAGACAACGCAGTGCTCAGCTTAGGTTTTGGGATTTTGTCCTTAGGATGGACCGGTCTCTGTCTGAGAGTCCTGTTAGGTTTGGAAAGCACCAGGATGTTGTGTTTGGAGAAAATCTTTCTGCATTTCTCAGATATCCAGTAACATATGGAGGGACAATGTTTTTGAGCTTCACAGTTTTTCCTCCCTGCTCTGTCCTGTGAAGTGATTTTTAGATTTCTTAACTGACTTGACAAAAACCCAGTTAGGATATCCTGAGGTTTGGAGAGGTTTTCTGGTGTTTTTCCCCCTTTTCCTTCTGTGTTTGTGGGGACGTGTGACCTGACAGTGCAGAGTTCTGACAGAACGTTTGTCCTCCAGTGAGTGGTAGAACAAATAGAAAATACAGATCTGTGTAGCTTAGTTTCCTGTAAACAACAATGCTGAGGCTTCCATATCTTTCTACAAGCACCAAACAGTCCAAAAAGGCAGCTTGTTGTTGTTAGCATCCCCTCTGGTAAACCTGATGTTGTCAGAGTTGATGTGTTTAGTGAAAGCTTCTACTTCCTTATCTGGGATTTTGACAAAGTTTTCATCCACATATCAGAACCATTGGCTAAATGTTGTTCCCTCAAAGGAGTTCAGGTCTCTCTGGGTAGTGACATATTTTTGACATCATCCGAAATATGAGTCTAAGAATCTGCTAAAAAAATGACAGCACCTTAGAAAATCTTTGTGTGTCTGCACAGACCTGAGGTACAAAAAAAACATTCAGTCAGTGTGATGGTCTCTCTGCTGGCAGCATGTTTTTTCCCTGTCAGTGTTCATTATTGTCCACTGCCGAATGAACGATTTAATGAAACTCTCAGGAAGTAATCATTGGATAAACCTGTACAACTTTCAGACCAAATCTAATTCGAAATGACTGCCACAACCAACTGAGGGCTATTTCACAAAAGCAGGATTGAGAAATCCAGGATAAGAGATAAATCTAGGCTTGACATAACTTGATCAGAGCCTGTATTTATAAAACTTCTTAGAGTGGATTTTTAGGCTTAAGTGCTGAAAATTTCTTAGATTTGCTCCTACTCTCAGACTTAAGTTTGTGTCAGTTATCAAAATTCTTAAGTCTAAGAGTCATTCTTACTCTCAAGAAAAGTTGAGACTTCACCAGAGGACTCTTAAGTGGTTAAGAGTTGCCACTAGGGGTCTGAGATGAACTGAAGACAGAGATTACAGCTGTCCTCCTCCCCACCTGAGTGTTATTCTCAGTTATAAGATGTGAAAAACAGGTTTAATCAGAAATATAGGTCCTTCTCAAAAAATTAGCATATTGTGATAAAGTTCATTATTTTCTGTAACGTACTGATAAACATTAAACCTTCATATATTTTAGATTCATTGCACACCAACTGAAGTAGTTCAAGCCTTTTATTGTTTTAATATTGATGATTTTGGCAGAAAAATAAAGAAAAACCAAAAATCCCTATCTCAAAAAATTAGCATATCATGAAAAGTTTCTCTAAACGACTTATTAACCTAATCATCTGAATCAACGAATTAACTCTAAACACCTGCAGAAGATTCCTGAGGCTTTTAAAAACTCCCAGCCTGGTTCATTACTCAAAACCACAATCATGGGTAAGACTGCTGACCTGACTGCTGTCCAGAAGGTCATCATCAACACCCTCAAGCAAGAGGGTAAGACACAGAAAGACATTTCTGAACCAATAGGCTGTTCCCAGAGTGCTGTATCAAGGCACCTCAGTGGGAGGTCTGTGGGAAGGAAGAAGTGTGGCAGAAAACGCTGCACAACAAGAAGAGGTGACCGGACCCTGAGGAAGATTGTGGAGAAGGCCCGATTCCAGACCTTGGGGGACCTGCAGAAGCAGTGGACTGAGTCTGGAGTACAAACTTCCAGAGCCATCGTGCACAGGCGTGTGCAGGAAATGGGCTACAGGTGCCTCATTCCCCAGGTCAAGACACTTTTGACCCAGAAACAGCAGCAGATGTGCCTGACCTGGGCTACAGAGAAGCAGCACTGGACTGTTGCTCAGTGGTCCAAAGTACTTTTTTCRGATGAAAGTAAATTTTGCATGTCATTCAGAAATCAAGGATCCAGAGTCTGGAGGAAGACTGGGGAGAAGGAAATGCCAAAACATCTGAAGTCCAGTGTCAAGTACCCACAGTCAGTGATGGTCTGGGGTGCCATGTCAGCTGCTGGTGTTGGTCCGCTGTGTTTTATCAAGGCCAGGGTCAATGCAGCTAGCTTTCAGATTTTGGAGAACTTCATGCTTCCATCTGCTGAAAAGCTTTATGGAGATGAAGATTT